AACCACCACAGTTTCTGTTTTGCTGTGTAAAATAAATCCACACAAGATGCAATCAAATATGACCTACAGTGAAGAGAAAGATTAGTTATTAGAAGCAGAACAATATCACTCATGATTGAAGAAGCAGAATATTCCACAAAATATTAGCAGGTTGGAATAAGCAATTTTATCTTTTTATAAAAAGATAATGCACTATGACCGAATGTGCTTTTTCCCAAGAATGCAACTTTGGCTTAACAGGTCAAAACCGATTAATGTAATTTGCTATGCTAATAAAATATGATCATCTCAATAAGTGAGGCCAAATAAAATCACTTGGCAAGATAAGAAAAAATCCCAGAAAACTAGGAATACAGAGAATTTCCTAATAAACATATGAAAAACTTGCTGTACCATTAATATCATATTTAATAATAAATATTGGATACAGTTTGCCTAAGATCAAGATTGTATTATTCTGCATTGTACTAGGGTTCCTAACCAGTTTAATAAGGTAAGGAAAGACTGGAAAGAAAGACGCTAGACTGTATTTACAGACGCCATTATTGCCTACATAGAAAAATTTTAAAAACCTACAAAGACAAAAAAAAAAGGAAATTAGCAAGGTAGCTAAATATATAAAAAGGCAGTTGTATATCTGCATTCTAGCAGCCAACAATTGGCAAATGAAGTTTTTAAAAACATTATATACAATAGCCTAAGACATCTAAAATACCCAGGAATAAATTTAACTAAAAATGCCCAAGACACTATGAACTATAAAACAGTGCTGAGGCCAATTAAAGAGAAGCTAAATAAATGGCGTGATGTATCATGTTCGAAGATCAAAGTATGCAATATTGTTAAGATACTGAATATTTCCAAATTGAATTAGAGATTCAACTCGAGCCCAATCAAAATCCCATCAAATTTTCTGTAGAAATACACTGATAGTTTTTGTAAAAATGAGCTGATTCTTCAACTTACATTGAAAAGCAAAGGACCTAAGTTAGCCAAAACAATCCTGAAAAAGAAGAGCAAAGTTGGAGGACATGTATTATCTGATATTAAGATTCATTATGTAGTTGCAGTAAAAAAGTGTGGTGTTAGGGGTGAGGATAGACAACTACATCAGTGGATTAGAATGTAGTCCAAAAATAGACCACACATATATAGTCAATTGATTTTCAACAAAGGTGCCAGCATAATTCAGTGGGGAAGGTGAACTCAGATTTACTGCTATGGTCTGTTACTTTTTCACATTTTACATATTAGTTGTTAAGGGCAGCGAGACTGTCCCATTTATCTCCTATGAATAAGCTGGGGCTAGCACTTACTGGGCACTCCTTATGTATCTGTTGAGTTAGAAATCAGAATGGTACTCAGGAAGATATATACCGTCGATGTTGGGATTTGATAAGTATTTTTAATAAAGGGAAGGCTCAGGTAATAGTTAAATTCAAAAACATATACCCTTCTAGGAGCCATTTTAGGATTAAATTAAAATGTATATAAATTAAAATGTATATAGTATTTATTGAAATGTGGGCAGATGAGGTGTGTCCAAGATATAACTACTTTGATTCAAGTATTTGATGAATATTGGATAAAGACACAGCCAGAGACCCATATCAAACTAGGCTCCCTATAACAGGAAGGCCCCAGGTGCGGAAAGTACCAGAGTAATGCTGATTCATTCATTCATTCATTCGTTCGTTCATTCATTCATTCATTCGTTCAGTAGTCATCATGTACTTACTAGGCATCTAGCATATAGTGTTGAACAAGACATATATAACTCTGTCACCGCTTTTCTCAAGTAGAAATGCAGTGGCTATTTTAAAGTTTCACTAAAATCAGTACTCTTTTAGTCTAGAACATAAATTAGTAGTGATGGCAGATTTTAGATCAATAATCTCATGCTCCTTCTAATTTATAGTAGTGCTACCCAGTAGAAATATAATGTGAGCTACATGTATAATTTTAAAATTTCTAGTAGCAAAATAAATAAATAAATAAATAACATTCCTAGTAGCCACATTTAAAAAGTAAAAAGAAACAGATGAATTAGATTGGTTAATGTATTTTTTCTGACTTAATACACACAAAATATTATTTTGACATATCAGTATTTTTTTAATTATCAAAGTAATATTTTTAATTCTTTTTTTTTATATGAAGACTTCAAATCTCAGTGTATATTTTACACTTACAGCACATCTCAGTTTAGTCAAGCCATATTTCAAGTGTTGAGTGTAGCTAGTGGCTACCTTATTGGACAGAGATAGGAATCAAATCTGAGTCAGCTGCAGTCTGTTGAAGTTTATAAGTAGATTCCAGAAAGATAGAGAACTGATGGTTCTTCTGGCCATAATGTTAGAGGAAAATCGCTCTATCCAGGAAAGAACCCCCATTATTCTGTTGCTAGAAATATCAGGATTTGTGGTTAAGATGAGCCTAACTCTGTTGTAGCTGAATAACTTCCACCAGCTTTCTTCTGAAAGCGCCTCAGAGTTTTACTATATTTGGAGACAGATCTGTACAGCTAATGTGCAAATATATCCAAGCCATCTTTGAGAATTTCAGATCTTTCCAGTGTGCAGTGATTTCCACCAATAAGACAGCTTTTCAGGACCCTAAAAAAAAAAGAAAACCCTGCTATTCATATTTCTCAATGAATTTTTGTTGGATGAATGATGAAATGAACCAATAGCCCACATACCAGTTCTCTGAGACACAAAATATTTTCAGCTCTAGGTTAATGAACCCATGCTCATTTGCATGCTTGCCTTCCATTTAAAATTCTTATGCATCCAACAGAATAATGCTTTCCCTTCATTCTAAGGTCATTATTTCCATTAGGCTATAATATAAACCCCTTATTTTCAAGAATAAGACTAATTGACTACACTGTGCACAGCAATATCTACTTTAGATTCTCAATTTATAATATTTCATCCAGGCTGAATCTTCACTATGATTTAGAGAGGGAGTGAGTTGGATTCAGCCTGTACTTAATCACTATTTTAACAAAACATTCACTGACTCATCAAAAAATCAGTTTCATCTTAAGCAGTAGAGCTTCTTTAGCTGGGTGGGCCATCCATCTTCACCCCAGCAGAACCACTTAGCAGGTAGGATCCTGGGCCCACTGCTGAATCAGAATCCCCGGAGGTGTTGTCTGGGAATCTGCATTTGTAACAAGTACCAAGGGAGAGCTCGACCTCACTAAATCTTGACAACCACTGCCCTAAAGTTCCACGTCAATATCCCTAAAGATAAAATCGCATCCTACCATTTAAATCTGTTTCGCCACTGGAGGAAATGCTGTTTTCAGTACTTGATTTGTTCATTACCTTTGTTGAACATTTCACTGTGTATTGTAATTTCCCTTTAGAGAGTACTCATCATTCAGCCCATAAACTGTATGCTGTGTTTTCTTTCTTCTTCTTTTTTTTTTTAAGATTTATTTATTTATTTTAGAGAGAGGGAGCACAGCAGGAAGGGGCAGAGGGAGAGGGAGAATTCAAGCACATTCCCTGCTCAGCCTAGAGCCTGATGCAGGGCTCAGTCTCTTGACCCTGAGATTATGACCTGAGCTGAAATCAGGAGTCAGACACTCAACAGACAGCCACCCAGCCACCCCTGTGCTTTCTTGATGTATAAGTTATGAATGATGGATTCAACCAAAGTCAAATTTACACTTCTCGTAAAATCAGACTGACTAGGACCCAGGAGATAGTCCTTTGCACCTTCCAAGTATAGTCTCCATAATGTTTGTGGCAAATGTTAAGAAAGGCTCTTCATTTTCCTATGAAATCATCTTAAGAGTACTTTAATTCAGTCACAATTTCACAGATAGCTATTGAGCCAGACCCAAGTACCAGGGCTTCAGAAATGAATCAAACTTCAAGGGAGTTCTAGCCTTCTCAAGGCAGGGATGAGGGGCAGACACATAAGTCTTGTGTTCAAATATAATGCAGTAAATTTTTATGAGGCATCCTGGGAGTAGAGAGAAGGGAGGCAGGGCGCAAAGGGGCCGGGGGGGGGGGATAGAGAGGATGCTGTGCTCTGTTTGAGTGTGAGCCACAGGCAGCCAGAAACGTGGAGTCATTCCTACAGGCTCTCCCAGGACACAGGCTCAGAACATGGGATCCTGGATCCCCACCTGCCCTCCTCTATTACACTCAGCTTTCTCCAAGAACCTGGCCTTCAATAGCACACTGGCTTCCCTTTTTTTACACCCAAAGCTCTCTCTAGTTGTGAGTAAGATGTTAAGGGTGATACATTTCCTTTTCTGGCCACTAAGGTGCCATTTAATTCACTCCAGCAATAACTAAATAGAAACCTACCTTTAAAAGATGCTGAGAGCAATGTGCTGCTAATTTATTGCCACATCTATTAAAGCTCTAGAGAGAATTTGACTCCCTAGATTTTAAATATAGTAGAGATATTATGTTTCCCGATTTAATCCCTCTATAAATTAAGTGAAATGATTATAGTACCTGTTGTCACTTCATACTTGCCCTATCTCCAATCACTATTCTGCCTTCATTAATTCAGAATAAAATACCACAAGACATTAATGTAGCACTTGGAGATAGGAAGGCTGCATTTTTATAGCCTCAATATGAAACCGTACTTAAAGATGCTTATACCTTTACTGAATGAGGAAAAAAAAAAAAAAAAACCAAAAACCTCTTCGTCTCCTAATAACCTTCATCATGAGTGAGGAAACCAAGGCTCAGAGATGTGAGGTGGCTGGCCCAGGGCCACCGTGTAAGTGACTACCAGAGCCAAAACGCCCACCCGGGTCTTCCAACTCCCAGTGCAAGGCTCTATTTCTAGGATATCCTCAAATCTTCTAGAGATTCTATTAAAGCAGTTTCTTCACTGTTTGCAACGAAGGGCATTATTGCCAACATGGAAACAAAAACAAAACTCTTGGCATTTCCCCATCACTTTCTCATCAGTGTTTTCAGTGTATCACTTCACAGTCATTATTTGGTGTTTTCTTACAGAAGGCAACAGACCACTGCAACAGAAACTATCCTTAGATGGGAACCCCAAACCTATACATGGAACACCAGAGAGGTCAGATGGCCTACAGTGGTCAGCTGAGCAGCCTTGTAACCCAAGCAAGCCTAAGGCAAAAACATCTCCTGTTAAGTCCAATACCCCCGCAGCTCATCTTGAAATAAAGCCAGATGAGCTGGCAAAGAAAAGAGGTAAAGTGATTTCTTTTGCACAAATGATTCAACACATTTTGCACCCCCGGAGAAGTGCCAGAATGCTAGAACATTCCAAAAGGATGCTGCTTAGTGAAGAGAGATGCACATGTAATTGCACTTCTCTTGGTGACCCACATAGATTGGAAAGTAGATGTGATTCCTTCCATGTGAACCAAAGGTCTCGAATGTTGACGAGGAATCACCTCTCCTTTCTCTGCCCCCTGTGGCCATTCTGTTCTTCCTAGGCGTGGACAAACCGGCACCACGAGTGCTTTCTACCGTCGTGTTTCATGAAGCGAACGGTAACGCGGGAGCCCTTTTAGCAGAGGGAATGCTGACTGATTCCCTGGCCAGCAAGTTCTTCCCTTGCCCTGAATGAAGATGATTCTAGAGGCTGACCCGTCTTCTTCAGATGTGACCTTCCTCTCGGAACCTCAGTTCTGTGCTAGAACTTGCAGAGACACTGTAACCCCGAAAGAGGATTTTGTATTTGACCCACTATGTTTTTACTAGTTTTTGAGCTTTGTCATACTTTACACTGAACTGGTGTTAAACACGAAAGGGGCCAAATTGCTTCCTTTCTGGTTCCCAGAGGATGAAATCCATGATATTCTTTGCCTTCAGCCTCAGTTGTATCTGATTTCCTTGGCTTTGGTTTGATAGACTTTCTTACTTCTCTTGAGGGAGAGTTCTTTCTTCTAAGAAACATGGCCTTGTTGGGATCAGTACAATTGGCCCATTTGCTCTGCCTTATCTGTGTACCTTGGTGACAGTTTCAGGAAATCAGGCGAGACGGGCAGCCTTCAAGCAGCTCTAAGTGCTGCTGCTCTAATTACAGGCCTGGCTCGGGACCGCTGGGGCGGGAGCCAGTGTACCTGGCACCAGAGCTCCCTCCTCTTTCGAGCTCATTTGTACCTCTCCCAAGCTCCATGTCCTTTTCTTCTTCCAAAAGCCCTGCTGGCTTTTAACCACGCAGAGTGGTGAGAGCCAGCAGCACACAAACAGTCTTCAGACATATCAGATTCTACGAAACTGGAGTTTGCAATAGAACATCATGACCACAGCCTCTTTCCAAAGCACAAAGGAGGCGTGGGTGCCCCAAACGGCCCACCCACAGAGCCCCTGGTCAAATCCCAGCAGTCCCAGGGGCCACACCAGTCACCCACTATGGATTTTTACAACTCTGGGTTATAAACACACAAACATCTTCTTGACAGAACTTTTTTTTTCCCCCATTGAGAAACAAAAGATAAATCTCTCTCTTTTTATTAGGGGTAGGGGAGATCGCTGCTTTTGTTGTTGTCGTTGTTTAGCTCAGATGTAAAAAGATTAAGTGTTCAATTTAACATTTTTTCCATGACATTACTTTTAGGCCCAAACATTGAGAAATCGGTGAAGGATTTGCAGCGCTGCACTGTGTCTCTAACGAGATATCGTGTCATGATCAAGGAGGAAGTGGATAGTTCAGTGAAGAAGATCAAAGCTGCCTTTGCGGAATTACACAACTGGTGAGTAATTCAACTTAGAAACTATAAACTTACGGCACTTGAGCTGTTCCTACAGGTAAAAGCATCTGATGGGAAATGTTGTTTATTTAATACATAAACATCACAGAACAACTCCTTGGCAAATTTTTTTAAGTCCTGCAGGCAGAGGCGTATATCTTGGGAATAAAAAAATAAGGGAAAATGTTTGAATAAGAAGAAACCTGTTACACATAATTCACTGGAGTTTGAAGTTGGCCCCAAAGTGTATGAATGATGTAGAACACAGCCTCAACAAATGATATTTTTGACAAATACCCCGAAGGCTGATATCATGAATGCTACTGAGACAAAAATATTTTCCAGCCTTATCGTTGTAAAATAAGTAAGACTCCCTTAACAAAACTCAGAAACATCTTAGGCAAGCTTAGTGATGGAATCCCATCCTTGGGTGTTTTGAGGACTGGAATCTAGGAATGGTTCACTGGTATGGTTTGGGTCCTGCCCTGCCCTGCTCTGCAGCCGATGTTGATGGGAGACATTTCTCTGAGCGTGTGTATGTGCTTACATGCACAACTGAAATGAAGTCTCTACGTGAAGGTTATTATCCGTAGAAAAAGTTCTCAGTGTATCCATCAAGACTCTTCCAGCTTCATGTGACAGAAACCCAAGTCACACTAGTTCACGACAAAGGATAGTTTACTGGCTGATGTGCATGAAAAATCCAGAACATTCCTTTGGGCAAATTTGGTTCTAAGCCTAAATTGTGTTCTGAGAATTCAGTTTCTCTCTCCCTCCCCTTCTCCTTTTCTCTGTCTCTCGCTCCTTTCCTCTCTCAGCGTCTCCTACAATCTCCTGGCTCTGCTTATTCTTGGCTTGATTCTTAGGTATGATCTCTCCATGTGGTAGCAAAGATGGCCCCCTAGCAGCTCCCAGCTTACATAAGCCTTAGTCCCTGTGATCTGAGAGAGAGCTTTGTCTCCAACAGTTCCAGCAAAAGTCCAAGGGCTAATTTGCATTGGCGGGGCTGGGTCACATATCTGTCCCTAAACTGGTCACTGTGGCAAGAGGGACAGTCTCTCCACTAGCCAGGCCAGGGCCATGTGCCCACCACAGAGTTAGTGGTTGGGTGAGCCCCACCTGAATCCCACAGACTGAGAGTTAAACAGCTGTGGTTTTCTGAAGGAAAGTCAGGGTGCTAAAAACAAAAATAAATAAAGACAGGAAGAACATAGCCACAGTGCCCAGGCTCTCATGTGTTCTCTGTATCTCATTGGCTCTCCATGATTCTAGAATTCGATCCCATGTTTTGCATAGCTTTCCTTTCCAAGTCCTTTCTTTGACACAGATATGCTTTTCAGCAGACTAGAGAGTTGTATAAAACCAAGGATTACACTTGACACAATCTAGAAGTCTTGAATTTTCAACCATCTGCTATGTATAAGATCCCAGTGTGCATAAGCTGTCAGAGACTTGAAAGGAAACTGTCTCCATCACTGATCATTCAGGGACGGACCCTCTCCCCTCCACCCCGTCATGTCATCTTCACCTTAGTGGAACTCTTCTCTGCCTGATCAGACGCTAAACTAATTGTTCAAAGTAAACTGCAGGCATATGTTTGAAAGTACTTAGAGAAGATAAAGATGCTATATAAACGAAAGGTGTTAATAGTACTGCTGATTTTTATTTTATTTATTTATTTAATTTTTAAGATTTTATTTATTTATTTGACAGAGAGAGAGAGATCACAAGCAGGCACAGAGGCAGGCAGAGAGAGAGGAGGAGGCAGGCTCCCTGCTGAGCAGAGAGTCTGATGCGGGGCTCGATCCCAGGACCTGAGATCATGAACTGAGATCACGACCTGAGCCGAAGGCAGAGGCTTCAACCCACTGAGCCACCCAGGCACCCCAGTATTGCTGATTTTTAAATCTTACATATACATACATATATATATATATATGCACACTCAACTTCCAGGCCTGTTCTCCAGAGCCAGAATCAGCAACCTTTATCTATAAAATGCCAGCTAGTAAATATTTTGAGTTTTAAAATCAGTCGTGTCTCTGTTGCAACTACTCAGCTCTACTATTCGGGCACAAAAGCCCGAAAAATGCAGAGAAGCAGTGGGCCTGATTTGGCTTGTGGGGGTCGCAGGTTCCTAGTCCCTGGAGGGACCAGTCAGCTGCTCAGAGGAGACCCCTCTGTCTCACTCTCTTGTGTGGCATTTTAGAGTCAACTCTTCCTCTGGGGCTTCTGTATGATACCTTCCCTCCGAGTGACTCACACACTAATTGACAAAGTGTAGCACTGACCTCAAGTTACCTCTCTCCTCCAGCTGCTCGGAGTCCTTTTTTTTTTTTTTTTTTTTTTTATTTCCTTAGTGAAATGAACACCACATGGGTCACGGGACATCTGGAGATTTATAACAGACTCTTTGAGCGTTTCACTCCTCAAGAGCTGAAAGTGTGGGCCAGGGAAGTCGGGTTGTATATCTTTTCTCTGCTTGTGTGTCACACTCCGTTTTAAACTGATGGGTAGGATCGCCTCTGAGTGAGCTCTGCCAAGCAGGACAGCTATTTAAAAGTCACCCTGTAACGAATGGCACCTTTCCTCCATACAGAAGAAGAATAAGTATAGATTAACCATTTTTTATGTGCTGTTGGTACAAAACGCGTGAACACCAGCGCTTATTTTCTGATCTAACCTTTACTAAAAATGATCCCCAAATAAGGACATTCGTGTCAACTTGAAAATAAAACAAAAGGAATTCTTTCTCATCAACCATTAGCAGACATTTCTGCCAAACGAGAAAACGTTACCTCTCTGTTCCAAACAAGCCTGCAGCCTCGCCAGCATGGTGATTGATGTACTTGGATAAAGTCTTCCTCTCATCTTCTGAGGGGGAGAAACCCATGAATTTTAGGGATCGGGCTGCTCCGAAAAAAATAACAGGTCACAGAATGGAGGAAGGCAGCTTACACATTTTCAAAAATGAAGCTTTCCTCTTGGGGGTGACATGGCGGACTCCAGGCATTGGAGAAAATTGCGAATGCAGCGCCACTCACTGAATAGAATCAGAGCCTCGGAGTTACATTGTAAGGCATATCCAGATGTGGACCATGTGGGACAAGTCCTCTAGAGATTTCCCAAACGAGTGATGGTCCTGAGACACGTTTACCTGGTGCATAGGCCTCATTGCTCTCCTGACCCCGCTCTCCTAGCTTCAGGCCAGCCGGTGCCCTCACCAGGCCCTTCAATGGGCTTTGTGTGTAGCTTAGAAATAAACAGAAACTCTCAGGTAAGACATTCTAAGCATTCAGCTGGCTACTGGGCTTCAGGAGGTGGATCCTGCCTGATGCAGTTCTCCACAAGCCCACCGGGATGCACAGGAACGAAGATTTGGGGGGGGGGGGAGAAAGCACTTGCTTGCACACGCCCAGCCCCCCAGTGAGTGCATATCTGGGTAAAATGAACCCAGTGCTTTTCCGACCGGGTCTGGCAGTGGAGAACGCTTTGTTCAATCCAGTTCCTGAGGAAAACCGTGAGGTGGCTCAAAGCTGGCCTGCGACCAGGACACAGTTACATAAGACTAAATGACCATTAATGGATCAATCTCATTTTCCCATAAAGAACTGGGGATCCGAGAGGGCAGCAGAGATGACACGATGCTCTCACGCCGTCTTAGCAGAAAATAAATTTTGCAACATGAGTGTCTGTGTGAAAAGTCACATCAGGAACTAACATGAAACAGCTGGTTTCCTTTCTATATGATTGGCCCCCTACCACAACTGGAAAATATTCATCCTTTGGAATCCTAGCTGCCAGATTTAATTGCTTTGTGTGCAAACTAGTCTAGCTTCTCATCACAAATGTGTGTGTGTGTGTGTGTGCGTGTGTGTCCAAGCTGATGGTGCAGGCTTAAAATGAACAATAAACATTAAATTCAAAAAACATTAAGGAAGGAGAATAGTACTTGATCGCCCTGCCATATGCCGGGGGAGGAAGGATTCCAAAATCGAGCTGTAAAAATTGCTAGGTGCCACTGTCAATTTAACATCTAATTAAAAGCACTCCTAAAGGAAATGGAAGATGGTAATGAGCCAGAGGGTAGAGCTTGTGCTGGGGATGGGGTAACAGGGTCATAGAGAATGGAGGCTGGGAGAGACAATATTTTTAGTCTGCTTTGCTTTCATGTAGGAAAGGGAAATCAGTCCAAGCCTGCGTCCTTATACCTCATGTTTATTTTTTCCTGAAGCGCCGCCAGGTCTTACTTCAGCAGAATTTGGAGTAGGTCAGGAGTTCCAGGCCCTGCCCTTCCCCCCTCCCCCCTACTTCCCCTCCATCCCCCCCTCTCCCCCGCCAGCCCTTGCTTTCCTCTTTCCTTGCACCTTGGAGTTTCCTCCCTCAGAGCAAAGACAGGTGCTCCCCACATCCCAGGGACTCCTCCCCATAGCACCACTCACTACTACAAGATAAGCTTGCTCTGGATCCCCATAGCACTTTCCTTTTTTTCTCATTAATGACCGACACTCATTCTTGTGTCACTGATAACCTCATCCTGCTGATGGCCGTGGGTCCTCCTTCCCAAAGTGTCCTGTTTAATTCAGATGTTAACAGTGTTGAGACCCTCTCCATCAGCCAAAAGCATAACCCTACCAGGGAGAATTTGAGGCTGCAGAAAAGCCTGTCTTCTCCCAGCATTCCTCAAATCCCACTCGGACGTGGGCCTCTTGCCTGCCCTGGAAGCTTCAGAGGTAGCCAAGCAAAAACACGCCCGGACCACCAGGGTAGTCAGCAGTGTGACCCCACACCAACCAGAGAGCCTCCCTGTGACATTTTAAACATTGTGTCCTTTTTCTAAGAAGCCCTCCCGAAGGGGAAATTGCCAGCGGGGCCTTTCAGAGCAAGTGAGGCAGCCCTGTGTCCCACAGCCCGAGTCTGCTGCTCGTCGGGTGCCCAACTCAGGTACAAATCTCGGAGCATACAAGGCTCGGAACGACTTCTGTTCAAGTCCAAGTGAGACC